AGGTCCTGGATTCTCATCTGGTAAGTATCCTTGTCCACTGACAGGAGAAACCACTATCCTGTGGTTTCTCAACCACGAGCCACCCAGGCCTGGATCAGACAGAAAAAATAAACAAAGGTAGAGAAGCCTCGCTGTGCTTCTTCCTCTTGAAACATCTGGGAACTTTCATAAGAGTTAAGGGCTCTTCCAGGACACCTGGACAGATTCCGGATCTGGGCTTCAGTGTTAACAAGCTGTATAATATCAGTCAGGTCACTTAGCTTCACTGAGTCTCACCTGCCTTATATAAAACTGGGGTTAAGATGAACAAAATCAAGCATCCAAAGCCATGGTGTAAACACTCCGTGTTACGAGCTCTGGATGTCTGCACCTGCCCATGGCCCTCTAATTATACTTATCAAGCTGTGTTAATTGACCGACTGCAAATTTAGAGGAAGACTAGAGGTCTATGTAGGCAGACCCTTAAAGTGGAAGTAATACTTGAGCTGCGCCGTAAAGTGTGGACATGATTCAACTCAAGTGTGACCAAGGGAAGGGCATTTACAGTAGAGGAACAACATAAGCGATCCAAGGATGGGCAGCATCAGCTTGGCCTGTCTGTGTGCAGATGGGGAAGGGTGAGCACACAGAGGGAGAGAAAACTGTAAAGGAAGGATGAACATAAGAGCATCTGCAGCTCTTCTTTGATCATTTTCCTAGTTTGCTATGGACCTTGTGGGTGAAAATGTACACTTGAAGCCAAGTTCTGTTCACTGAATGCATTGGTCAATTTCAAGATGTTCTTGAGTTCCTCATAAAAATGATCAACAAACTCCCCAAACCTACACCTACATTCCCTCCTTCAAATGAAGTAAATAAAAAAGCATATACATGTATGTATGTATGTATATACAAATGTATGTATGTATATACATAATATGTATGTATCACAAAGTTCTCATTGTCAGTGTTTCTCTAATAATCCAATTGTGAGAAATTATTCATTATAAAACGGTATCTGTCGGGGTCAAAAAAAGGAGAGAAAGGAGAAAGTCAGGGATTTGACCACAGTAACTCAATTTAGATCCCAATTCTCAATCAGCTCTGGTATGAAGACCAACCAGAAATGTAACTTAGGGCAAAAGTTTATACTCCTCATTCTTCTATTCTTATCAGTACAGAGGCAGTGCTCCTGACCAAGTCGAACAGCTTGTGCATAAACACTGACTTATATAATATAATATGCCAGATAATTCCTGATATTAAACAAGACATTACATGGGGGAGCCCACTCCCCAACTCTAGTCCCATGTCTTAAGGAGATAACTATCTCTCAGTCACTGATTAAAGGAAAAGTACAGTTCAGGACCTTTATATAAATAGCACTGCTGCATGTACATCTCAGCTGTACCTGCTTCCCATGAGAAGCACCCAGTTTATACATACCTTGATTGCACAATATTATACTAATGGGTTTGGCTCTAGTTTTGTTTTTTTTGTTTAGCACAAATCATTTCTGTGAATGTTTACCATATCATTTTACATGTATATTAATCCAAAAATATTTTTCAAATTTGTAATTGGCCTAGGTTACAGAAAGTTGGAATTTTTCCCCTAAATACAAAGGAAGAAGTGTTTCACCTGTCAAATGACTTTTTGTCAGGTCCAAGTGCTGCCCTAGTCGCTGTCAGTTCAAATGTGCACCACTCACACAACCTGTATCACCCAGCATCTGCCGTGGCACCTGTGGGTTACCCCCAGGGGCAGACGCCCTGCTCAGCTTTCTAGCTAATCTCATTGTCTCTAAGAGTCAGTTTTTCTCCTGTAGTAATATGATCATTAGTGAGCAAAACCTAAATGAAAAGAGTATACAGATTTCTACCTGTGTCGTCTGCCAAAACTGTTTCCAGATACACGTTCCCACCTGCCTCAGATTCCTCTTCACTCTGAATGGAACTGCCATTTAATTTCCTTAGTTACCTGGCTCTCAAACTCCAAATACAGCCCCTCCATGTGAGCAGAGACCCTTCCAGAAGGTGGCATGTTCCTTCTCTCCTGCCTGTCCCCTCTGGCTTTCCCCACCTGGCCTTCACAAGAAGTGGTACCATTTCAGTTGGGATGGTCTTTTGCTGCTTTCTGGGCGTGACTTTTTGAGTCTAGAACTCAATGCAGATTGTTGGAGCACTGTGGGAGAAGATGAGGAACAAATCCAGGCAAGGTGGGTGGGCTGTAAGAGAGTGCCTCCTCCAAGCACACTGTGCAAAAAACTGGGAAGGCCACTAATGGAGATCATTACTGGATAATTACTGAATAATTAATGTCAATCACAATCCCAAAACACTTCAACAAGAGACTACTGAAATATTTTTCTACTTTTAGTGTCTACATTTTCCACTCAAGCGTCACCCTTACACTGTGGTCTACACCATCTGCATATTAACCTCATTAACCAGGAGACAGAACCTTTCTACCCTCACTGTCACTCCTTGTCCCCCCTGATTTTTCTGTTCTAACACAACATCTGTCTAAAACCTTATTACACTGACTTCTCCCAAAGCACAGTGATATTAAAACAAAGATTTGGTCCTCAGTGAATAACCTTTTCCTGAAATGAAACACCAGGACAAAACCAGTCTCATAACTCACACGTTAGATGGCATATCACCACGCTAAGAGTGTCACTACAAAGAAAAGCACATTTAGACAAATTGTAATTCTCAGTTCTGCAAGAGAAGAAGAGAAAGAGTGGGCAAGAGCTTTTGAAGAAAACAGAATGGTCTTGAAATAGATTAGATGAGTTCTTCCCCAGCCACACATTCACAATCACACACACCCTCCACGTTCATTCAGTGCCCAAGTCCATCCCCCAATTTCCAGATCCCACAGAGCAGGCTTCATAGTACATAGGCGGGTGCCGAGCTCCAGGCCAGATCGGGGCAGAGGGGCTGTACTTGGAACACCTGCTGTAATGCTTTCAAGTCCTATTTCTATTATTCAATCAAAGTGATCTTATCCTAGACATCACAGGTTTGCTTTTGTCTAAAAAAGATTATTTTGTTTTTGTGATCAATTACCTGCTGAGAGTTACCAAACTTAACCATGTATGGTACCTGTTAGGGAATAAAGAAAGGAGTTTGTTACATGATGCAAAAGTTGCACATTTTTGTCCTTGTGTATCTAGCAGAGTGGAAATCTTCTGAAATGTCACACCAAGGTTTCGGGTATGCAGGGGGCGGGGAACAGGAAGTG